CCTGTAATAAAATGTTAACTATTCTATGGATCATAATTATGATGCTAATCAAAAAAGCCACGCAAGGATTAGGTACCTAATTTCAATTTATCATCCAACAAGTATCGCTGAAATACAAAATGCTTAAATGTTATTTCTGGTCGGTCCTCGTATATACAGAGTAGAGACATGGACACTGAAGAAAACCATCAGAAACAAAATCGAAGTTTTTGGAAATGTGGTTCTTGAGACGGATGCTTAGGATACCTTGGGGCGATCACATACATCAGAAATGAAAAGGTTAATCCGAAGGGCTGAACTGCTAGAACGGAAATTCTTCGGAACCATAACGTGCAGCGCCTTATCCTTTACGTTGAAGAAACAATAACAAATACGAGGTACCAGGGGCGTGCCGAGTTTCTTGGGGGCCCTCCCGCAAAATTTTCCTTGGGGGCCCCGAACAGTTTCGGTAAAAATAAAAGTAAACAAAAAATATCATAATAGATATTTATTTTATTAGGAGTATAATGGCCATTTGCACAGCTATCACTTAAGGGATATTTGATCTAAGTGGAGCTTTGAATGTGACTTTTGTTTCTACAAGAGTCACATTCAAAGCTCCAGTTGGATTATATACCTTAAGTTATAGCGGTGCAAATGGCGATAAATAATACTTATGTGACGCGCATGGAAGTTTGAATCAATTCCATGCAAGTCACATGAAGAATAATTATACTCCGAATGAAATACAATAGAGAGTTATTGGACGTGAAATAAGGTCCAGCAGTAATAATGCAAACGCTATATTGACATCTGCGCTTGCGCAATTGCGCCGTTGAATAAGGTTAGTTTTATTAACGTTTGTGCTAGACTTTATTACTGCACGAATAAAGTCACGCACTAATAATATAATTTGCCCTTATATGCTTTTCACTTATTATTGGCGTAGCACTATCCATGGAAATTTGACAGGTTGACCCTCGTATAATAATGACATTTGATGACAAAATATTTTTCAAATTGCAGGGTTATGAAACAGAAAGCCGAGTTGCCAGAATGTGTAAAATATCTGAGTAAATTCAAATAGTAAAATTATTCAATTTATTAATTAAACGTAACCATAACAGTAAGCTCAATAGCATAAATATGTTTTTGCAGTAACTTTTTTTTCGGGTTTGGTCCAACGGCATTTCTTCTATTTTTATTTTTTTATTTCTTCTTATTCTGGACGTGACTATCCCTTATGAATGTCGGCGATCATCGATTATTATGGCGATGCCCCCTTAATTCGCAGCAATATGGAAGAGTTGTGGCGAGCTTTTATCAAACAATGTTCCGGTTGACCATTCTGGCGCCTTGGCGTGATAGATCAGAAAGCCGCAAGAAGCGGGAAATATTAGCGTGTCCATTGTCTCCCAGTGTCCCGATCCTATCCACCCTCCCCTTATAGTTTTGTCAAAGTAATAGTTCAAATTTAGATCCGTTTTTAGTCCGTCTTATTCAGGTTCCACCATTTCACTTGAAGAATTAGATACCTCCTCAGATTCAGACAACATTTCTGAATCCGACTGGGAATCGTATTCTCCAAGAGAAATAATGAAAGGAGGAATATTTTTGAAAGGTAAGTCTCCGATGTATTTTGTCCAGTCTTCTGAAATAAATCTGTCACAAAATCTACAAAAATTCGTCCACATGTCTGAGGTACATTTTGAAAGAGACTCACGCCATACCCTCGCAACCCTATCCGTGGATGGTGGCTGCGAAGTTATAGTTTTATTATAGAAGTTCTTACAAAACCCCCATGCCATTTCAATAGGATTATATTGGCAATGATAAGGAGGTAATCTAAGAACTTCGTGTCCGTGGCTTTTCAAAATGTCGTCAATTTTGTATTGTTTTGGTCTATTCCGAAATGGTTGAGTTACGGTCCATAATTGTTTTTTGGTCATTTTTGTGTCGAAGTCTACGTTATGTTTAATCAACCATTTCTGCATTTTGTCTTTCTTTGAAGAGAATGAAGATGGTTTATCCTTCCGCTCTGAATGATATGGAGCGTTGTCCATGATTATTACATATTTCTCTTCAAATATATTCAATGCAGGAATTAGTTGATCAACGACCCATTTTTGGAAGATGCCCACGTTCATGGTATTGTGGTAGTCTCTGTCATTGTTTCGTGAATCTAGAAAAAAATCGCACCCATCTAAAAACTCAGAACTACTCCCCGCATGCAAAATAGTAAAACGTTTCCCCTCTGACTTAATTTTGGATGGGTTGCTTTAAATATCAGATTCGTGTATCCATTGACGAACTTGAGATCCGTTTTGGTAGATCCAAGTTTCATCTAAATACACGAATCTGATATTTTCGTTTGAATGTTTATATTGAAGGTATTTCCGCAAAAATGTAATTTTGGCAGCAAGAACATGTTTCTGCTCACATAAAATTTTGCGTCCATTTACTGCTTTAAATTTATATCCTATAGAATTTAAAATTTTATATAAACTTGGTTGCCCTCCCTTAAATTCCAAATTCTTTTGCGTATGTCAGTAATATTTGTAATGTAAAATATTCATTTTTAGAATTGTATTTCCAAATTTGTTGTTGTAAATCTTCTTTAAACATTCGATCCATAATAGTCTTTGTCTTTTTCGGTCGGCCTAAAGGTTTTTTGATTGTATATTGTCCAGTCAAAATTCTTTGAATAGTCCTGGTTCGGTACAATTAAGAGACAGAAACAAAATACCAAAAAATCGAAATTTTGTATCGTGGCATCGCAAGTGAATTATATCCTGCATCCATTTATTTATTCTGGGTTATAGCATTGATACACGTGTTATTATATTTTTGTCTCTTTATCACTTGTACTTTGTATTTGTCATTGTGTCTTCAGTGATCAGTCTCGAGGCAAAATTGAAGAAGGAAGTAGTGAATAGGAAGAAAGAAGCTATCTTGGCTACGAAATGTGCGGCAGTGGACAGAAATAGACACTAAAAACTGCAACATTGCATAGAAATATTTTATAGGAAAAACGATGGACGCCTACGCTATGGAATTTGTATGGCATTTTAAGAAGAAAAAGAATATGTAGTAGCAATAAACTATGTCAGCAAAACTGTACCAGTTATTTGGTGGGTTTTTTCTTTTTTTCTTGAAAAATAACATCTACTTTAGACATAATACATATAGTCAACTTTGATTTTTTGATGCACAGCAAAAGGGGATATTGGAAGTTGTTACATGACCAACCAAGTTCTAGTTGGGTTTCATGTTGGTCTAGATGACATCATGGACGCCAGTTCCTATGGTGTATCTCGGGGTCAAATCCAGCATTGATCTCTCGATGTTTCCTTGCGTTATTATAAGCATCTTGCCAGATGCCATTGTCAAGCCATTCATCACGATCTGGAGTAGATATTGGCAGAATAATTTTCTTTTCGAGCAGACAGAGATGTTGCTCTTAGGAACTATTATCAACTTTTCCCGCGCACCTTATAAAAAAATGTATTCTTATCTCCATTCAACTTATATATGATTGTCTTTGAATATGCAGATTTCATTCCATAATATAGAAGCCTGGAGAATGACATAAAAGAGTTACAATTTATCGTATCTCATCAATAGTCACTTTCGTGAAAACACAACTATAGTTCGCCTTACGAGTCTAGCACTACGACGTCCGAAGGGCAAGGGGAAATAACGCCATTCATTTCGAGCTTTATGCTGTCTATCATAGGCGTGCGCGCAGCGTTTTTATACCTATACTATGTGACAAAAAAAACGCATCACTCACTAAAGGTGTATATTTTGTTAACAAATTTTCTTGGTATATACAAATTAGGTAACAAAAAAAATTCATCTCCCACCAAAAATGTATATTTTTTGAACACATTTTTTTGGTCTTGGCCAAAACTAACATAGACTATGTAGAAAATTTGTTAAAAAAATATATAATTTTCATGGGTGATGCGTTTTTTTTGTCATTCAGTAGAACCAATTCAAAAATTGCCTTGATAAATATATCGAAGACTGGAACAATATGTTTGTGCATTACTTTGCATGACCACTCAAAATGTGACTATTGTACCTAGGTACTGAATTTATTCCTAATGCATATTTAACTTTCTTGTCCCAGCTTTGTCAATGAGAGTTATTATGTATTCTTTGGACAATAAAGCTATATTTAATTTGATTTGAACTGCCGATTTGTCAGTATGTTTCAGTCTGTATTTCTTTGATGTTCCTTTATTCTGGTTCCCATAAATCCTCTCTATGTACCTACACCTTTCTACATGTGCATGGAATACGGTAGACTTTAGTGGTTGATAGTGGCACTGTGTTCAAATGTGTTTAAACCAAACGCTGTATAAATGTATTTGATATTTAATCTAAAAAATAACGCTATAAATGAATAAATTATCAGACCACTTGCTGAAAACACGCACATCATGCAACTAGTTATTTGTTGCAACTCTTACATAATTAATTAACATTTTGGGATACTTGCTTATTGAAATATCCAAAATTGTCGCACAAGATATTCTAAACCATACAGGTAGATACAGGAACTTTTATATCTATACACTGTAAATACCTTATTTTTCATACGCACTATATACAAGAGAAAGAGCATTATGGCAAAAATGGTCGAAACACTAGCATGTAAGGTCATTTATCGAAACAATATAAGATATATTGACCAACGATAGGTACGCTACTGATTTTTGCATTATTTTCTCTCACGCTAATATCCTGCCTCAGGCAATCTAGTAAAATTGCAAACTTGAACGTATTAAACTGCTCAATATCAAAAATGGTATTCCAGCCGTGCAGGCTGGACTTTAAATTTCCTATATAGCCATTAGGCACTTTGTTAGGAGGAAACTGCATATAAATTGGTTGAAGTCAACCACTAAAGCCTTTTCCGTACTGCTCCTAATGAGGATAACGAACGGACTGTATAAAAAGTCAATTTAAGCATCCTTTCTATTTATGTTAAATAATGTTTATTTTTGTTTTAGTGGGCCGCTTCAAAAAATGAGTTAACTAACAAATAACAGGATAATCCTTATGGTGGACGTACGGTATAGACCTGTTACCAACATGCATCTCAATGGCGATTCTATGGAAAGTCCAGATGAAAGCCGTAAGTTTGTTTTGATTCTTTCCAGAAGTCAATTTAGGTACTCATCGATGAAATATCTAATCTAAACTCAACTAGATAAAAAGCAATCTATTTTTGGTGCTTATGGTCATATTAGGATATAGTACCAATAAATTTGCTACTTAGGCTATGGTCCGAATATAACCAAACGTTAACCAAAGTAACCAAATCGGTTGACAAATGGTAACTGAATAATTGACAGAATTTATAGATAAAACCAACAGAACCGACATCCGATAGCCGGTAACTATTTTGTCATTTGGTCAACCAGATTTCAGGAAACCGAGGTCCAAAAGTAACCACTTTTCCAGGAACCAGAATAATTTGATTACTTTCGGACCGCGAAACCACAACCTGGTTACCTATATTCGGACCACAGCCTTAGATCATTTTCTTTTGATCATCTGTCAAGTTAAGTATCATTTCTGAGAAAAAAATCTGAAAAATACGCCAGCAATTAGAAAATCGGTATCGATCAAGCTTAAGCAGATAAGCCTTATTTGGCGCAAAACGATTTGGCAAATAAAGGCGACATTGAATTACGTAAATAATGACTTAAACGTTTCTAGTACGTAACATAGATAACTATTACATTTAACCCAGTTAGTCATAAGGTGCTTTTTTTATGTGTTTTATTTATCACTACAAGACTCACTTTCAAAGCGAATATACTTAACAGTTTAACAGTATAAAAACTAGAATATGGATTGTTGTGTGTAGATATACTTACCTATCACAAGATATTGACCTACTTATCACATAGGATTCACCTTAGAAATTATGTTATTTTTGGTTACTGATTACTGGTATGAAATTAGCAGCCGTTTCCAGGAACAAACACTGAAAAAGAAATAAAAAAGTCGATTTCTGTATCCAGTTAAACCTTCATACTTGATGGGCAATATCGTTGTTGTTTACCTAAGGCATTTAGTAAAGGACCCTGCCCAAAGTACGTATATGGAAATTTTGTGTTTATGTCAGAATTGGCTGAATTTTGTATATAATGTAGATGACGTTTTTCTGATTAAAAGTTACCATTGCACCAATCCTGGAAAACGACTCCTTTTTGAGAAAATAAATTTCATAGGTAGCAAGTAAAACGCTTGGGCATTGTGATGGACGTTCAATGTAGCACGAATAGGTAAGCTTGTGGCGTAGTGGTGTGCTACGTGGAGTCATTTTTCAGGATTGGTGCAATGGTAACTTTTAATCAGAAAGGCGTTATCTACATCAGTCCTGTCCAACAAGAGGCCCGCGGAGCAGATCTCTGAATTTATAAATTACTCTCAAATACGAAATATGCACAATTCTCACATTAACCATAAAATACAAATAAAAAGACATGTGACGCTACTGGCGAAGGATAGAAGGTCGCAGTGAAACGAAGCAGCTGAGTAAGTGACTTATCAGAAAGAGAACATCTATATTTTGTCTTTATAAGTTTCATGTTGAAAAAGCTGCTTTCGCAAAGATACGTGCTTTCCAGCACTGAGCCCAGTGTAAGCCCTAAGTTTCGCAGGTTGGGGTATCGTTCTTTTGGCAGCAACTTGAAAAAGTCTAATTTCCAGTTCTTCCTTGGTAAAAAGGATCTGATTGCAAATCACACAATTCCAGTTAACGGTCTCTGCTCACATTCTCAACTGAAATTGTAAGGGGCTGAGGGAGAACTGAAATCTCTCTTTCGATTTTTTTGAAGTTGCTAAATCGATTTTCGAATTCTTCTCAATGTATGTTATCTGAGGTAAATTTGAAACTTCCTCAAAATCCTTCATTTCTTCAAAATGCTCTTTACAACTTGGAAAAAATGGAAAACCATTTTTTTCTAATGAAGACTTGAAGAGCCTAATTTTTTCAAGAAGTGGAACTGGATTGGCCATTTTCAAGTTGCTGCCAGAAGAACGATACCCCAACCTGCGAAACTTACGGCCTACACTGTGCTCAGTGCTGGGAAGCATCTTTGCGAAAGCAGCTTTTCCAACATGAAACTTATAAAGTCAAAATATAGATGTTCTCTTTCTGATAAGTCACTAACTCAGCTGCTCCGTTTATCAACAAGAAATGTTAAAGTTAATATTGGTGCATTAGTAAGTGAGAACCAACATCCTCAAATTTTCCATGAGTAAATGGAAATATTCCAAACGCGTTTTTTCTTTGTATACCATACCTATTAAAACTCACAGATGAAGTTGTTCCCGAAGTATTTCATAATGCGGCCCCCCAAACCGTATTTTTGTTTAAAGCGGCTCTTGGAGATCTTGAAGTTGGACAGCCCTGATCTACATTATATACTTACAAAATTCAGCCAATTCTAACATAAACACAATTTTCGTATAATTTGGGCAGGGTCCTTTCCCTTTCAAGTGATAAATACCTTTTGTTATTAACAAATAATAGCAGCCCAAATCAAAAAATAATCAAGGATACTGCTGTTGATGTACATTTTGATGCTGTCATCGGGATAAAATCCTTTCCAAATCGGAATTGATGAGTGTGTGTTCAGAACCTATCGTCATATTGTTTACTAGTCTTTAGCATTTTCATCGCCGCTCCACTTCTCTCTGAACGCTCGTTTTTACTCTTTCTCTCACTCGTTCTACAACGTTTACTACCACTTTTTCCTCTTCTTGCTTTTCTTTTCTTGCCATTTTTATTTTTCATGCTAGCAGATTTGTGATGAGCACGTCTCTATTATTATTAGGAATATTAGGCAAGTGGCAAGTCGGCAAGTCTTTCATCACCATACAAAGTTAACAGAGTTCAAATTGAATTTTGTTGAATCATTTTTGGCATGCCTGTTAGCCTCTTTAACTTTATCCAAGAGTGAATCGTGAATCTTGAATGTCTACAAATCCAACGTAAAGCTTTTTCGAGGTTGGAATTGAGTTTCTTTTCCAAAATCGAGTTTCTGCGATTCATTTTCTGTACTTTAACGTTAACTCCAAACAGGCAGATTCTGGCCTACTTTATTAAAGAACTGTCGTTTATGAATAAGAGGAAATCCGTTCATAGAATACCTATGCCAAATAAAAACTCCATGCTGGTGTCATAATCGTAAAACCTGAATGCCCAATTCCAACCATCCTCAAACGTTTGCAATTCCATTGCAAATCGTTCGGTCTTCTCGCAATATGGGCGGTCACCCAGCCGTGACCCTATCGACCGTGGCGACCACCCGGTTACAAAAAAGCGCCGTTTCAAGGTACCAGAGTCGTAGTCGTTTTAATGCTGCAACAAGATCCTTGAGCGAGAAATGAAATTTGCAAATTTGTATTTACACGCAACAAATCGCATAATAGGCACATATACACAAGTGCAGCGGACATTATCGACATTTTAACATTATAGATTTTTTTTTCCACTAAATGAGTACCTACCCTATTATGGCTTCACCGTCTGGGGTATCTAGCTTAAATTAATTGTGGTTGAAAGAGATTTCCGGTTCGTCCCGCTCCCTCACCAGTCCTGTAGTGAATTCTAATATATAGCTTTCAGAATCTTTAGTTTATTTTGTCTTAGGTTCTTCTGCTTATTCTTCTGTCTAAGGTTTGATTCTCTGCCTTCTCAATTTTTCTCAGTTTCTCAAGTTTTATTACGATTTGTTTTCTAGAAGAGGATAGCACAGCAAAGGAGAGACTCTTCTCGCCCCCGATTGGGGAGCCTTATCACACAAAGAAATGTCGTCTCGGATTAGAGGGACTATTATTAAATATCAGGATAATTTGAATACTATAGAGAGTTTTAATTCTTATTTTTTATTTTTCGGGCAGTTCAATATTAGTTTATTTGTTTTCAGTTGGGGATTAAATAGAATTGAGTCAAGTGAGATTGGCGTTTGCATATTATTAGCAACAAAAATATCACATTATAGGTTAGGTTGTAGGTTACGGCATTCAAATAACTGATGTTCTAGAGTGTCTCCTCCCCACACTCACATGCTGAGCTGTCCTTGATACCGAGCCTGTTTAGGTGTTGACCAGTGTCCAGTTCTCATCCCTGATTATCATAGTTATGTGTCTTCTTTTTATGTATTCCATATTAGTGAACCAAGGTTCCTTTGAGAAAGTCTGATAAACCCCCTTGTATTTTACTCTTTTTTTGCTTAGTAATTCCTTCCACATATTATTCCAAAGTTCTTTATGATGGTATTTCTTAATTTTAGGTATATATTCTTTTACATCCAATTGTATTGGATATGGGACCCTAAGCTTTCTACCTATATTAGCCAATTGGTCTGCTAACGTGTTCCCTATGATGTTTGAGTGTCCTGGGATCCAGAGTATTTTTTATGTCAAAACCATTTCCATTTGCTTCCATTATTTATTGCTTAGTCATTGCTATTCTGTGATCTAGATTTTTAGAATTAATCCGCTACTGTTTCCGCTGCGCAGATCTGGATCTGAGTGAAATTGGGTAGTCTTGACGAGAATGAGTAATCTGCTTGTGACCAGTAAACACCAAACCCTGCTTCATTTGTGCTTTTTTCCACACTTGCATCTGTGTGAAAATGATAATAATGGTTAAACTTCTCATCTATTATTTCCGAAAATTTTCTTCTAATATGTTTGTTGATATCCGTTCTACAGGTTGGTATTTTTCCTATTTGGCATTTATATTCAAATTCAAACCTGGGGTGTGTTTCATATTTCTTTATTTTCTCTTCCAGTTCTTCTAGTTTCCCATATTCCTGTACCAGGTGTGGGACTTCTCTGTTAGCAAAATAACCTCCATTTCTATCCAGCTCTTTAAACTCCTTAATTAACATTATAATAGGGTTCCTTATTTTCATGTTTTTCAGTAATAATTTTTGGGTTAGGTAGCCATTTTTTTTTTCTACCTAGAGAGATTGCTTACTTATTGCTTCTATTAGTAATAAATTTGTTGGTGTTGATCTCATGCAACCCAGAATTGTCCACAAAGCTGCATATTGGGTTGTGTCTAGTTTTTCTTTATTTTCAATTGTGGTGGTATTGATGAATTGGGAT